GGGACTCCAGGATCATGACCTGAGCCGAAAGCAGTCGCTTAACCAACTGAGCCACCCAGGCGCCCCAAATGAGAAGTTTCTTAAAAATCCAGACTTCTGGGCTCCTCCCCACACCTACTGAAGAGGGATCTCTCAGGCTGGGATTCAGAGATCATTTTTAAGAAGCTTGGCCAGTGATCTTAGGCACATTAAAGTTTAAGAATTGGTACGCAGGAAAACTGCTCTGTCCATCCGGAGCAGGGAGCGAACAGACTTAAGGAGGCTTCATGGAGCAGGTGGCATATGAGCTTGTCTATGAAGGCAGAGTGAGATTTTAGACAAATGGACAGGGTGGGAGGAGGGGGCCACGCAGCCTTGTCTGATGGAAGATTCACTGTCTCTCTTGGTTCTTGCCATCATCATCGTCCCCCTTCAGCAGCCTTACCATCTTTCTCTTTGGCCTCCTCCCCAAACCTCAACAGTCTACAGGGGCTGAGCTCCGGAGAATCTTTTGCTCTCCAGGAGCTCGGAGGTGGCGCCCACGAGGTGGATTAGCCACGTGAAGGACATGCACAGAGTTGACAATAGAGGACATTCAGTCACAGGCAGACAGGAAGGGGGCGAAGATGAATAAAGAAGAAAGGGAACAAAAGCACAGTTGGACAGGTACGCAATCGCGGGCAGACGTCCACGAGCTGGAAAAGGATGGACAGGAAGGTCGCACGACCACAAACACCGGGCCACCAAGCGCAGAGAGAGAGAGACGGATGCAAAGGAAGTACGCAGACGGCTAGGTGGGAGGTGGGAGGCTAGGTGGGAGGTGGGAGGCTCGGCGGACAGGGATGGGCTCAGGTGATGCCTCAGATCCCCGAAGGGCGCTGCGGGGAAGGGACTAAGCTCAAGCACCCGGCTCTGCCTTCCAGGCCCTGCCCATCTTCCTTCTCACTGTCTGCTGCAGAGGGGCCAGGCGCCAGGCTGGAAGAGCTAGGTGTCCTCCTGGATGTGCACCTTGGTCAGGGGCTCGGGAGTCACCCCTCCCCCCCCCCGGGGTCACATTCACTTCAGCTCGCAGACGTGTATTATTAGGTCTGAGGTCTCGCTTCTTTCTCACTCATCCCCCACTTTCGTACACGTTTCTCGGGGACCGGCTCTTATTGGGGGGGTGTTTTATTCCAATTCCCGGTTTCAGGCGTCTCGGGAGCTGCGTCTGTTCATTCAGAGATCACTTTCCCTTTAAGCGATTTTCCCCATCAGCCACCTTCGCAGACTCCCTCTCCTTCCCGACATCGCTTGCAGTTTCTAAGAGCACTACATCTCCCATCAACCTTAGCGCCCAAGCGGCTACCCTAGGGAACTTCAAGTACCGAAGTGCTCTCCTACCCGTCTCCGTGACTACTGCGGTGACCGATGGGGCTTGTAGTCCCCTGGGAATTGCCAGAAGCCCAGAGAAACTACTAATCCCAGGAGTCCTCGCGTCAGAGGCGGGTTTCCCTCCTGGCTCACTGCGCGACCCTTAATCCTCCCTCGGACTCTAACTCCCGCCGTGCCATGCGCTGAGCTCCCGGCGGCGGAGAATGGAGTTGTGGCCAAAGTGTCCTCTGGGAGTTGTAGTTTCCATCTTGATGAGGCGAGGAGGAGGCGGAGTGACTCGGCGGCCATTAGCTGTGTGTAGTTGCCCGGGACTGGGAGCTTAAGTGAAGAGGGAAGCCTTACTCGGTGGAAATCTACCGTGGCCATGGGCTCCTGCCGGGGCTAGCCCCAGAGTACGGAGAAGGCGGGCTTTTCGGTGCCCCGCCCCGCCCAGTGGCGGGGCCCACTAGGCCTCCGGGCATCCCCGGTCTCAAGTAGGCCTCGTCTGCCGGCAAGGGCGCCCCAAAGGCGGGAGGCGCCATGTCGCTGGTTGCTTACGCCAGCAGCGATGAGAGTGAGCCGGATGAGGCCGAGCCGGAGCCGGAGGAGGAGGAGGCGGCGGCCCCTACATCTGGGCCCACTTTAGGGGGCTTGTTCGCTTCTCTCCCCGCACCCAAGGGCCCGGCCTTGCTGCCTCCGCCCCCCCAGATGCTGGCCCCAGCCTTTCCCCCGCCGCTGTTGCTGCCCCCGCCCGCCGGGGACCCCCGGCTCCAGCCTCCGCCGCCCTTGCCCTTCGGCCTGGGAGGCTTCCCCCCACCTCCGGGCGTGAGCCCGGCTGAGGCGGCGGGAGTTGGGGAGGGGCTGGGGTTGGGGCTGCCTTCGCCCCGGGGCCCTGGCCTCGGCCTGCCCCCCTCCATGGGCGGTGCCGGGCCCCCCCTGGGCCTTCCCAAGCCAAAGAAGAGGACGGAGCCCGTGAAGATCGCGGCGCCGGAGCTGCGTCAGGGGGATGTGAGTATCCGGGGGGGGCAGCCCCGCACGGCCCCTCGGGGTCGGGCTGGGGCCGGGCTGTGCGCGGCGCCTGGGAGGTTCCGGGACTGCCTCCCGTACCTGCGGCCTCCTGCTGCCGCGCGATCGTGGAGCAAGCTCGTCAACTTTGGCATGTGTCCGTGCGCGTTTCTGGAAGCTGGACCCGCGTGCGGAAGGGCCACAGAAGGTCCCCTGGCGCTGACAGGCCCGGCCCGCCGCCCTGCGTTCCGCTCCCCCTGTTGCATGTGCACCACGGGCCGCTTTTCACTTTTCTTACCCCGAGAACAGCATGAGATCTGGCGCCCGAAGAAGTGACAGGAGACAGGATTCCTGAGCCCCTGCTGGACATTTGGGGCGCACTCTTCCCCTGGCATCCAACCTCAAACCATCAGGGTCTGAAGGAAAAGAATAGGCATCCCAGGTCCTGTGTTGGAGGGAAAAAATGGAGTGTGTGTTGAGTGCAGAGCAGTAGCCCGGCATCGGCCCTTCCCTTCCATTATTGCAGAACTCCGGGAGGTACCATTCTAGTTTTCACAGAGGAGAAGCCGACGTCCGCTGTGTGAGATCTTACCTGCAAAAGGACACAGTGGAGGTGAAGAGCTGGGTCGGTCATCTCCAGGTCCGTGCCTCGGTTTCCCCATTTAGGTATTGCCATGCCACGTGAGTTAGAACGCTTGGGTCCTATTTCTAGAAGAGGCAGCCAGTCTGTATGTTGGAGCAGAAAACAGAAGGCCTTTTCTGGGGTGAGCACTTCGGGAATAAAGGAGACATGAAGCCTGCGGGCAGGTGGCGTTTTAGGGTTATCCCGAGTTCTTTCCTTTCTCTTTTCTGAAAAGTTGTTTGGTCAGGCCTTCGCTCCCCTTTGGTGACCTTCGGAGAGAAGCTTATTTTTGCTCTTGCCTTTCTGCAGGCTTCCAGCTCTGGCTCGGGGCCGTGTCCGTGTTTGGTCTCGCTGGTCCCTCAGCTTCTTCCCCAGGCAGCCTGCCATTCCCTCCTTCACCTCCTTTGGAAGACAGGTGCTCAGTGAGGACGTCCCGGGCTGCCCACTTGCACTGCAGCCTCCCGTCCTCCTCTTCTGTCTCCCCGAACTCGCCACCGTTAAACATGCACTGGGTTTTATTGCTTCTGTCCTTCCACTAGTGTGCAAGCCCCACGAGAGCAGGGCTGGCTGCTTATTGTGTCCACCACTATATTCCTCCAGGTTAAAACTGCTTGGCACCTGCTGAGCACTGCCTGAATGTTTTCTAAGTGAATGAGCTCGGATGAATGTGGACTATTCATAAAAAGGAGGTTCCAGAATCTGCCTCACTGTTTTGTTCCAAACTTTCTTCCACATTATTTCCCCCTTCTTTCTCACTTGAGTCCGCCGTTTCTGTGTACAGGATCCAGAGCAGCCTTCTGTCGCTTTGCTGAAACTTACTTGGGCCTTGATTTAATCTAAGCAAAGAAAAGTCCCTGAATAAGACAAAAATAGGTTCATTACCTCAGTCTTCTCTTTTTTGTCCTCTTCACGTTTCTCTCCACCGTGTTTGTGTCGGAGTAAGTGTGATGTCTGGGGGAGGTGGCGCTTTGGGTCAGGTGGCCCCCTGCCCCGTGACAGCGGAGAAGCCCATTTCCAGGTCTGCGAAGGCAGCCTTAGAAAACGTAGCTGGTAGAGGTCGTGGAACCTCCCGGTCAGGCTGGCTCAGGTGGCAGGTCTCACTCAGGACTGCTCAGTCTGTCCCTCCTCTGTCAGTGGAGCTCACGAAATTCCTGAGGTGAACAGTGACGCGATCGTTGGAGAGAGCCAGGTCCGAGCCCTTAGCTTCTCCAGTTCCTGTTTTCGTCCTGCCTGGGTTGGTGGTGGTCCTGCGGGAAGGTGGGGAAGGTGGCCTCGGAGAGTTGGGATGGCCAGGTGAGGGCAGCCGTTGTCCCCGTGGGTTCTGAGCATGTCTGCTTCTAAGCTCTGTGTCCTGCATCTAGTAGGCTCTGAGTACACATCTGAAGAAATGAATGAGGTTTCCTTAAGTGCCTTCCCTTCAGGGTTTGGTGTTGAAGTAGAAGTAACTCTAAACTCTTGTTCGTTCATTCATTCCTTCATTCCTTCCTTCAGTACGAAGCTGCTTGTCTGTGCCAGGAGCCGAGAGTACAGGGGTGAACGTGATCGGCTCTGCCTACAAGGACCTCACGGTCTACTGGAGGAGACTGACAAGGAGGTAGATTTTAGGTCAGTCAGAAGAACTGCGTGAGAGCTGGTGCTGTGGAGGGTGCGCATGGCGGGCACTAACCCAGTCTAGAAGTTGGGGAGGCTTCCAGAGGGAGGAGATGTCGGAACAGAGATGAGAAAAGTGAGTAGGAGGGAGCCAGAGAAAGGGGGGTGCTGTGCGGAGGAGCACGTCAGGTTGCGGGGCAGACTGTTGCAGGGGGCGCGGCGGTGAGAGAGTGACAGTGCCTCGGGGGCACCTGACGTGAGTGAAGCGCTGGAGCCTGGGGAAGGGGGCGCGTGGGCCTTGGGCGCCACAGAAAGGCCTTAGTACGTGACCCTGGGGTAGTGAAGCGCCCTCAAAGGCCAAGCAAGGATTCTCTGGTCGCAGAGTGGCAAAGACCTGCGGGGAGCAAGACTGGCGGGCGCAGTGCGAGAGAGGGTGCCGGCCTGGGCGCAGGGGTGCAGGTCTGTTCGGGGGGCACAAGTGGCCAGTCGGTCTAGGCCATTGATGGGATGGCCTGGGTGCAGGCCAGGATTCAAGGTTGACCCCTGTCTTTTAGCTCAAGCAGCTGGGAGAATAGTGGTGCCATTTACTGAGGGAATATAGGAAACAGGGCAGATTGGGGGTTAGGTGGATTTAATTGGTTGCAAGTATCAGGAAGCACCTCAAGGTAGCTTGAATGGTAACGCATCATAAATATACCGAGGTGCCTTGCCAAGGGCCTGGAGTCAGGAATTGGAGGTCTGTCAGGGAGCCACGCAGCTCTTTGCAGGTTCGATCCATCCTTCTTTGTCTGCAGAGCGATTTTCTCTGCTCCTCAGCCTTCCCCACGGGGGAACGATGGCCACCCACAGCCCCCACCTTCTTGTTTTGTAGTTCCTTTTAGCGAGCAGCCCAGATGGAACTACATTCTTAGTCCCAGTTCTGGTTTTCCACAAGGGAGCACATGGTCGGTCTGCTCTGGGTCAGCTCCTCAGCCAGCCACAGTCAGGGGGCAGGCAGTGTCCAGTTCTTTGTCCAGGTCAGCTTTCCAGTTACGTGAGGGAGCAGGAGTGACCCACAAAACGGGGGATCGCCTCCTCCTTTTTCCTTATCTCCTTGCTCCGACCCAAGCTACCTCCGGGCATTGGTTGATCGTTGATTTCGTGGACTTAGGGGATGCAGACTTGTAAAATCAGGATACAGAAAGTCAGTATTAGAAAAGTCAGTCTGCTGAAGAGTTTTCGGTCTCAGGATGTGCATTTCAGAGCAAACACATTTCAGGGTTATCTGGATTAGTATTACTGTACTTTTCAGATCATTTACCCAGATAGTGGAAAATTGGCAGCTGTGAGATGGGAGGTTTCACTCATTTTGGTCATTTCTGTTAAGCAAGCAAGCAGGCAAGCAAGAGTTGACGGCAGCAGACAGAGCATAGTCTCGGCCCTCTGTCGGGAGGGAAGGAGCGCAGACATTTGTGGGGCACCTGTCGAGCGGCCAGCTCAGCATTGTCCCTGGTTTACAGATGAACTAGTTGAGAGAACAGAGGTGATGGGTCTAAAATCCCGGTTTGGCAGTGGCAGGAGTCCTGTTTGACCTCAGGGCTGTGTTGTTCTGTCGTGGAGCCTGTGGGAGAGGGAGCCCCGAGCTGCTGCAGGCTCGGGGGAGGAGGCCCCGCTCGAACTGAAGGGCACGTGTCCGCACCAGATCCCGGAGACCAAAGAGGGAAACGAGTTGATGAATCTGACTAATTGGGATAATAGCAGCGAGGAGTGTAGGAGTGTAGTAGTGATTCGAGTTTGGAGCCCGGGGGGCTCTGTGCTTGGGCCCTTACTTCCTCCTTGGCTCCTGGCCCTGGCAGCTAGTGATTGCTTTTTGGAGAGGGAGTCTGTCAGAACCAGAGCCTGAGGAGATAAGAGGGAGGCTGCCGCGGGCAGGGAGGCTCCGATAGACGAGCAGATCCCACCGGGCCCGGCTTAATGGAAAATGTCTGTTTCCGTTCTTGCTCAGCAGTCTCTGGTGCGTGCGTCTTGTCATTCTTGGCAGCTGGAGCGGAGAGGACAGTGGTGGCCATTGAGGCCCAGGCTCTTGTGAGGCCAAGAAGAAATAGATTACTTTCTTCTTAAGGCACAACCAGTACGTGCCTCTAAAGCCCCGGAGGGCCCGTTCTGGCCGGGCCCTGGTGCTCTGGGGTCTCGGACATCACCCCGTCTCTGGGACTGATGGAGTTGACTCCGGAGCCTTCCTGGGGAGTCCTCCTGTGGAAGACAGTTTGGCAGTTCCTCAAAAAGTTACTTAGAATTACTCTGTAATCCAGCAGTTTCTTTTTTTTTTTTCTTTAAAAAAATTTTTTTAAGCAAGCTCTACACTCCACGTGGGGCTCGAACTCACAACCCTGAGATCCAGAGTCGTGTCCTCTACCGGCTGAGCCGGGCGCCCCTCTCGTCCAGCGGTTTGAGTCCTAGGTGGAAGGAGCTGGGAGCCCGACTCAGACACACCTGCACACGCGCGTCCCCAGCAGCCGTGGGTGACGAGCAGCATGTTGTCCAGCCTGAGGAAGGGAGGAAACACTGCTGGTGTACGGCAGGGGCACTCAGTGAGGCCGGCCGGCTCCAGTGGGGCGCAGGCTGCGCGGCCCCCGCTGGGTGTTGGGAGGCACTCGCGGTGCGTGTTCGCACACACGGAGGGGAGAGGAGCGCTGCCCCGGAGGCTGGAGGGCGGGGGGTGGGCCATGGGTCCCTGTGGTTCAGGAGGTACAGACTTTCTGTCTGGGGTGACGGAAAGTTCCAGAAATGGACGGTGGTGATGGTGGTACAGCGCGGTGAGTACACTTAATGCCACTGAGTTGCCCACTGAAAAATGGTTAAAATGGCACATTTTATGTTCTGTATGTTTTGCTGGGATAAAGGAGAAAACCCCGGTGTGTTTCTGTCCCTGTCCCCGTCAAGGAAGTTCTCCTTGGGTCTAAATTAAATGCTGTGTGCCGGGGCTGAGCCCATCACCTCCAGCAGGATCTCCAGGGTTCCTCTGCAGGGCTCCGATGGGAGCCCCCGGCTCCGGGAGACTGGGGGGCGATGGCGCATCTCTTAGCCTGTGCCTCGCCCGCCCCCCCCGCACTCACTGGCGCTCTGCTGGCTGAAATGGGTTTTCTTTGTAGCTCTCCTGTTTCCTGTTAGTGTTTAGTCCCCCCCCCCGCCTCCCCAGCCACGGGGGCTTCACGTGGCCTCTGAGCCTCCACAGTGAGTCCGGGAGCTCTGTGTGGCCGCCTGCTTCTAGGGCAGGGTTGGCGCGAGTTCGTGTGAGGGGCAGGGGCGGTTTTCCTCCCTCCGCGCCCCTGGACCCCCTGGACTTGCCCTGTGGCCCTGATGTGGTTCCGAATGTCCCTGAGGCCTGTTTGTCAGCTTTCAGGGCAGAGACTTCTCTCTGTCCCTCCCTCAGAGACGGATGGTCAGGACTTCACAGGGGTCAGGGCTCGGCGCACTTGGGAGGTTCTGACTGGGGTGCTGTGTTTTGGGGGGTCTGCCCTAGCTCGTGCGCGTCACGGGATGGCTTTTAAGGCAGTTTGGTGGGTTAGGACCCGGTGTTACGAGAGAGGGGGTGATCTTGAGGGCCCGTCGCAGCTTCCTGAATCCAGGAATAGCAAGCCGTTCCTAAAGTCTGTACAGGTGTGTAGTTTTGTGCTTTCAAACTGGAAACTTAGGCTGTCAGTACAGTGGGAACAGTGTGTGCCGTTTGAGAGAGAAATGGCATTTCCTCGGCGCGCCCCTGGCCTCCAGCGACCAACAGTCAGGCTCATGGTAGCCTCGTTCTGTTTGTCACAGGATCTGAAGAATAGGAACATGCTTGTACGGTTTTATGGATGTCATCGTCTTAAACTTGGCTAAGATTTGTTTTCAGATTGTTGCAGTTGAACCTGTATGTAAGGTGTTGAAGTTAAGTTGTGCCCCCGGGCCTCGCAACCGCTCTGCGCCCCGCAGTGAGGTGGTTCTATGTGGTCTGCGGGAGGAGACAGGGCTTCACGGTCAGAAGGCAGGGGGTGGTCAGGAGTCTCCGAGGCACTGGGAGTCCGGGGCTTTGGGCTGTTTCTTCGGTTGAGTTTGACATCTTGCAGGCCAGAGAGAGTGATAATCCCTGAACTCTGCCTAGAAGTTTAATTATGTACATCTTCGTGGCCAGTAGCTCGTGCAGTCTTGGTTGTGACGTGTGTGTTATTTCCAATGGCTTGGGGGTGGCAGATAAGTAGCAAAGCCGAGACTCAAACTTGTATTTCTGATTTCGTGTCTGTGCTCTCGTCTGCATCACGCGGAGTCTCGCGGGGCGTGCTCGCTGTGGCTCTGGGGCCTGGGCAAGCACGGATGGCCGGGCATGCTGTCCCTGCAGAGATGTGGGAGCAGAGCGGGTGCAGGGCCTGGTTCTGCTGTGTTCTAGCTGCTGTTTAACCTCAGCAAGTCTCACCTCCCTTACCCGCAAAATTGAGGCGGTAACATCTGTCGGGAAGTGTTGCCAGGAGGACTAAGTGAAGCATCGTGAGTTGCTGGCCACCTAGACGACTGTCCTTCCCTTTACGGCCTCTTCCCTTATCCCCCACATTTAAGTACCAGGACAGACTCCCCTTACGGGTTTCGTCATACGTATGCATCCGGCAGCAGTTAGTGATGGAAATCGTTGCGCGCACAGACTCCTGTGAGGCGGTCTTCAACTATATGGTGGAAAAGGCGAGGATATGAATGAGAATAATGTCACATTCAGGGCCGTCTAGGTGGCTCAGTCGGTTGAGCGTCCAGCTCTTGGTTTCAGCTCAGGTCATGATCTCAGGGTCGTAAGATCAAGCCCCGCGTCGGGCTTCGAGCTGAGCATGTAGTCTGCTTGAGGTTCTCTCTCGCCCTCCGCTCCTCCCTCCCCCCATGTCATGTGTGCTCTCTCTCAATTAAATTAATATAATTTTTAAAAAAATAAAAAAAAGATGTCACATTCACAGAGCAAGCACAAGTGGATCAGGGTTAGCATGATGCCACCCCAAACAAGTGAGTTATGCAGGGACACGGTGAAAGAGAGCACGGTGAGTCACCAGGAAGATTCTCGGGACTTTGGCGTCAGGAGTCCAGAGCGCAGACGCAGGAGAGTACCTGGCGGCTGAGATACAGGCACAGGGATGGGGTGCTAAGGTGAGGCCCCCACATGCAAGAAGGAAATGTAAGACCAGCAGATCTTTGAGGGGATGTTTGAACCACACTTGATGTCCTTATGTTTGTTTGTTTATTTATTTATTGAGACAGAGAGAGATCGAGGGAGAGAGAGGCAGAGGGAGAGGGAGAACCTCAAGCAGGCTCCAAGAGCCCGACGGTGGGGAGGATGGGGGGACTCGATCTCTTGACCCCAAGATCACGACCTGGCTGAAACCAAGAGTCGGAAGCTTAACCAACTGCACCACCCAGACGCCCTTTGATGTCCTTATGTTTTACCGCCTTCGTTGCAGTTACTGGGGTGCTTGTCTTTATTCTTACTGGACCGAAAGTTTCTTGAGGGCAGGGACTTCTTTCATGTCACAGCACACACACAAAATCTTTGAAGCACACCGGGGTGAATGGTCTGGAGGCACTCCCTGCCCCGGGCCCTGCCTGGTGCCTGTGGGCAGAGTGGATCCGCATTGTCTTGCCTGGGAAGTTCTGTCTACATACGGAGCACGGTGTGCTGCATAGAGTAGGTTCTCGCTTACTGTGAGGTCCTCGTAGCCGATGAGCCCAAGAAGGAACTTGTGGGGTAGGAGGGTCAGTTGAGAAAGTCAGGCAGAGGGTTTGAGTTCTTGCAGAATCTTGGAGGTGAACGGGTCTTAGAGGACCATTATGTGCAGATGCCCAAACCAAGGCCCCAAGAATAAACGGAAGGCTTTCAGGGTTCTTGGCT